AATGTGCAAGAGATTCTTGCAACATTTTTCATATATTATATATTTTTTCAATAACATTGAAAATTGTAAAACATCTTAAAATACAAAAACTTTGACAATTTTTTTTTTACAAATTTTATAACATAAAAATTTCGAGCAACAATTGTCCATCTTACCTTCCAGAGTTAATTTGCATTGCTCGCAGGTGAAATGAGGTGCCCAGGGTTTGTCTTGATCCCCGACAGGCATGCCGACATATGCCTTGTAGGCCTCACACATCTTAGCAGATGCTTCCACAAAGTACTTTTTCGCTCTTGTCTTGATAAATTGGCCGTAGATATAGCAAAATGCGCCTGATGGATGCTTGCAGCCTCTAGATGCTATCTCAGAGAAATGCAGATATGTATCCACTTAGGCAGCTGGACATAAACTAAACTGGTGGGCTTAAGGCCCCTGTATTCATACTACTATTTATATTACTGGAAAGTTCTAGAATGTTCTAGAAGTTACTCCAAGTTTATTCAGCACTGAATCTATCTGGAATGTTCTGGGAAATAGATACATTTCAAAATATCATCGTCCTGGTCACAAAAGCAAAGTTTGTGGTGAATAATAGCCATTTTCTGTACTTTTGAGCCATAAGCAATTAGGAAATAGCACTTACTACCCAGGAACAAAAAAAAATGTTACACAGTGCAAATCAAAATGTCTGGACTTGCACCTTGTTATTATGCTCACTGCTCATTAGCGGATCACCACCACCGCGGAGTAGAAACTGTAATGAGCATTGCAATTTCACGGACCGCAGGATACACGGCGTTTGTGGGGGGGCGGGGGGGGGGAGTGGTTACGGGCTAATGAAGGATCAGCATCACGTAGATTGACTCTACTGTAACACAACTAATTGGTGGTTCACCGTGTCCGTTAATAAGTTACCAAGCCTGCAGTTTAGGGCACTGGCTATGCATGCCCCAGAGCACATGCACGAGTTGCAGGTACTGTACGTAGTCAATGTGTGTGTCCAACACCACACACGACGTGGCGGGGAGCGGTGGCGCACTGGTTAGCACACTGCGCTGTGAACTCGGGTTCGATTCCTAACTGCGGCTCACATCAGTGGCGAGTGATAACTGAACCGATCAAGCCCCCCCCCCACCCAAACCCTACATCGACTCGGCCTTAAACGAGTGTCTTGGTGAGTGTTTAAACATGCGCACTGGGGGAAACGGGTGGCCGGGTGTGGTGAAGGCCACGCCACTCAGTCGTGGGCTCGCTAGCACCACTCGCCCCAACAATCTGTTCCGCTTTGTGCATCATATCACACTCTGTCATCATCATCGTCGCTAGCCATGGTCAATGCACTGCTGGATGAAGGCATCTACAATCCGCCGGTATTTCACATAGTCCTGGGATGTAATAATCCACCGAGCACCTGTACACGAGCTGATTTCATTGATCCATCTCCCCCGGTGGACGGTACCGCTATCATCCGTTCCTCGGTTGCCGCTCGTGATTGATCGTCTGCCATCATCCCTCCTCCCTTCTCGCGGCGGCCGCATCCATGGCTTTGCGATACTTTCACACAGAAACATTGCGCGCTCATTCCGCTCGCTGCTACCACTCTACCCGACAGACCGCGTGTGCGATCTGCGTGCTGCTCACGCGGAATGTTTACCGTTGTGGGACAACTTCCACGCGAATTCAGGGCTAACGCGCTTAGACTGTGCGCAACAATTATTACTATTCTTAGTGCTGCGCGCGATTGACCCCTAACTGCAAACACCGTATAATTAAGCTTAAATTGGCCGTAATGTAAGAAGCGTGGCTTTCACAAAGCGTTCACTTCTTCGCTTCGTCCACTCAGCACCTGCAACAAGATCCGATCTCATCGCTTAAGATAAGTAGTGGGCTTGGGCAGGAGACGTCAATATAACGGATGATGGCCAGTGGGCAGGAATAGCTCATGCGTGGCAGCCAAGGCAGGGTAGTCGTACAAGAATGTGTTCACGTATATAATGCACGGAAAAGCCGAAAAACCATCAGTGCGTATTTCTGTTGGTGGTCGCGTGTCATTTGGTGAAATTTACACATTACCGTGACAGGGTCAAGTTCGATAAAAAAACACAACCTCCATTCACTTCCCACAAACTAGTACCGTGGCACGGTACTCATCTACGCGGGTGGGCCACCCTGGCGGAGGGAGAGAGAGGGGGGTGGCAGTCATCTTGCTGTGGAAATTCCACATTCCTATGGCGGGCCGAGGTGTGTGGGAGCGGCGAGCACCGCACGCCACGCGCGCGTGCACACGAGCGCGTGGAGGAGGAGGACCGGGTCTCCTTCCTCCTGCTCGCTCGCTCTCTCACTGCGCTAATCTTCCCCGGGACAATAGCGGCAGTGTGGTCGCCTCCACCACCGGGTATTTGTGATACGCTCCACGGTCTGGCGGCGGAGGGGAGGGGGGCGCACGGGGCAGGCGAGGAATCCCAGGTATTCGCGAGGGGATATATCGGTCGGATTGTGTCAGGTCGGTGCGCGCTCGGCAGCACGAGAACGTTGCGTTCTCGTAGGGGGCGAGGGGGGGGTGACAAGGAGCCACCCCTCCACCCCTCCTCCACCCCTCCCCTCCACCCCTCCCCTCCACCCCTCTCCTTGCCCCTCTCCTCCACCCCTCCACCCTCTCCTCCCCGCGCGGAGGTTCGACGAGTTGTCGTGATTTAAGTGCGTAATCGATTTCTTTTATTTCTTTACATCGCAGTGCATGTAGCGGTCTCTCGTGGCTAGATATTAAACTAATTATTTTGGTGATGTCGCTTACGTTGGCAGTGGCGCATAAGCACAATTAACACAAAAAACGCAATATATTCGTTACTAACACTGTGGAATTAAAAGGAGATATAAAAAATTATGTGACGTTTCGGGGTGAGCACCTATGTGGGCCAGCACCACGTCCGGTCACCTTTGTCTTCCTAGTGGCGATGTTTACACACCACACCAGGCACTCGTTTCACGGCTGAGTCGACCTAGGGGAGGCCCAGGACTGGGGCAGATAATCGTATCTGGTGTTTAGCGTGAGCGGGAATCGAACTCGGATCGCCGTGTTTGTAGCGCAGCGCGCTACCGCTCTTCCTGCACGCACGCGATTAGGAAGCCACTGAAGCTACGCACTTTTAAATCTAGATTGAAAACTAATATCTTGAGAACTGCTTTTTGGTTGACTACGAACCGTGCGAAAGAAGTTCAACATACATACATAATACATCCTGAAACCAACGCTTCTCAGCTCCGATGCACGTGCTGCTGGGTCATTACTCCTATTCGGCAAAACACGTGCCGATCCATGTCCTCACCGCCCACGCGGGAACAAACCAGCAAGGATGCCTATTGTAGCGCGTGTCAGCCGTTTTGCCAAGGTGTGAACCTGTCTCACCCCCACTCCTCTCCGATACGTTTGATGAGGCTGTAAAGAACAAGACTCTTGAGGCCAGCTGTCGACTGTGCAAACACCTGTGGGATCTGGCAAAAGGAAGGAAGCGATGGCGACGTTGTGCTAGAATAAACGGCTAGACACAAGGGAACTTATATTCTTGGTTCTTTCGGCAAAGTCACGTTGACGGGAAACAATAAAATAATAAAATATATTGTTTTATATATTGTTTTATTGTTTAATATATATTTTATTATTATATTGTTTCCCTTCAACGTGACTTGACCGAAAGAACCAAGAATATGAATCACGGCAGTCACGAAAGCTTTAAATCAAAATTTAACAGGGGAACTTGTACAAAAACCACTGACGTTTTCCTGAATCGAGAAATACAGCACACGCGCGCATGACACGCGCCGAGTCAAAGTTGTTTCCACTCCGCAGCCGCTTTACATCTGCGGAGTGCGAGTACATCGGAACGAACACGCGCCCGAGATGATCACCACTGCTCAGATCTAGAGGGGATGATATCAGCTCACGTGCAGCAGTGGCATTGTAGGACCCTTGAGGGGTGGCGACGGCGTGGAGAGGCCTCCATCTAGCAGTGGAGAGACCACAACTCGCGACCATGATGCTTTTACGGGGGAAGCATTCGTTTAGCAGCGGATAGACCATATCTCATCATTATGACCGTGAGTGAATGAGAGAGCGAGTAGGCACGGCGTTCACAGGCGTGCGGCAACACGCTTCAGAGAGCATGGGGGGGAGCTGGGGGAAAGGCAGGGGGAGCACCGGGGAGCCGGTGGAGAGAGCGAGAGCCAATGAGAGTCGCGGGGAGCCAGGGGGAGAGAGAGAGAGCGAGAGGGGCGAGCGAGCGGACGAGTGTGGAGGAGGGGGGGGTATCGTGAGCGAGAGTGCAGGGGGGAGCCGACTCCCTGCCTCTTGCGTTGGGGGAGTGAGCGAGGCGACGGGACCTGCGTGGGTTTCAGCGTTTTTATGGACTGCGCGGTGGGAGGGAAGGAGAGGGTGGAGGGTTAGAGTCGGGGGGGGGGGGGGGGCTGTTAAGGAAGATAGGCGGTCGTAGTGGGTGAGGGGGGGGGGGGCATTTTGGAGTTTCTTTGAAACACGGTTGGAGGGAAAGGAGAAGACTGGGGGGGGCGGAGGGGGGCTGGTCGCGGTGTCCGTGGGGGGAGTGGATCAGTGGATGAAGTGGGGTGGTGTACGGAGTCGAGAGAGGAGCGGGGAGGGAGGGAGGGAGGGAGGTGTGTAGGGAGGATTGGGGAGGTAGTGGAAGGATGAGGTGGGTGGGTGGTGTATTGGTTTCTCTGGCCCTGACGTCACCGCAGAAAAGGCAGAGAGATCCTCGCATCGCGGGGCCGAGCCGCGCAAATGGGCGACGAGGAGGAGGCGCGCGCCGTCTCCCGGGGGCCGCTCGCTGCGCTTCTGCGCCACCTCTGCACCCCGCGCCCGCGTGATCGTCCCGAGTGCACGCGGCGCAGAGGATCGTCCGCCCGAGTCCACACCGACCTCCAGGAGCGCTGAGTCGTCTCTCGGATAACAGAAGGCGGCGGCGGCGGGGGGGGGCGGGTGGGGGGAGGTGGGGGCAAGGGGGAACGCGGCTCGTTTGGGCCCCTCTCGCGAGGTTGGAGGGGGGGGGCTCAGCGGGAAGGGGGCAGCGCTTCCTCCCGCTTCGCCCTGCGGGAGGGATGGCGGTGACCCGGGTGCCGTGTCTGGTGCTCGCGATGGCCATGGCGCTCGCCGCGCGAGGGTAAGAGAAGCCGGACAGGTGCGCGATGGTGGGGGGGGGGGGGGTGAGGAAGGTGTACAGGTGCGCGGACACGTGGGCTGTCTCTGCTAGGTGAAGACCCCGGGCTCGGCTACATTCTGCTGCTGCTGCTGCTGCGTGGTGGTCATATTCAGGAGAATGGATTCGCTTATCTATCTGTGCGGAGCTTTGCGTTCATTAGCTCCTAGTTCTGGTGTGGTGGTGGTGGTGTTTTTTTTTCATTGCGGGCACGAACTCCGCTTTCTCCCCACACGAGGCCGTGGAATTAACCGAACGAATCAATGCCAGAACCGTCCTGAGTGTCGAGACTCAGCGAGGCTTTTCTGCACGAATAGGAGGCATTGTTCTGATTGATCCGTGCATGTGCCTGCTCGCTCCACTCCCCCCCCCCCCCCCGCATTGTTCTGCAAAAAGCGCCCGTTTTGTTGTATGTTGACGCCGCTGTAAGAGACGGGGGAAAAAAAAGGAAACGCGCGCATCGGAGCCAGCGAGTCTACTACATTCACGTGGCGGACGTCGGGGTTATTGATGGCACAGACAACTGTTGGCCGCTTGTGTTGTGGCCGAAACGTCGTGATTTTTGTTGTTTTATTTTTTACCTACGTGACTTTACCGAATAGAACCAAAGAGTATGGAACTGTTGGCATAACTGTAAAGTGGCACTCCGTTGTGTAGCCCCGGCGAGTGTGATGGGCCGTGTCGAATGCTCTGGCGAACTAGATGCACCCGTTTGGCCACACTCGCGCTCTCACACATATTGCGTGCTACTCGCCGCGGGTAATGCCGAACGATGTCGCGTCGGCTCGTATACCGCAGCCGTAAGCGTTGAAGTGCCTTTGGGAAAGGGGCAACACGAAAAAGAGCAGGTGACAAGGAAGACGACACTTGTTCGTGTTTCATTCTTGAGCGACTTCTGGTCTCGATGGGCCTCTCGCCTGACTTTAACGAAAGGTCACCCCGTCTGTCTGTCCCCGTTATCTAAGGCGACTTCTTGAGTTGAATCGACGCCGCCGTCTGTTGCAGTCACGTGTGTCCGCATTGCCATTGCGCGCATTGTGGAATCGTTCGGACAGTAGTTGAGCCTTGGCGATGCGATACATTTGCTGCGGTTGTGTTTTTTTTTGGGGGGGAGGAGGGTAGAGGACAAATCTAAGGGGGCCGTGTTTTGCTCGGGGAGCACGGCTTTCCCTCCGACGTTGGTGGAACGCGCTCCCCTGCAGTGGTTCCTCCATCGCTCTGTGCACGGGATCGCGCTTCGAGGAGACTGTGTCGCTTCGGTCGTTAAATCAAGATGCGCATCCTGCGTTTCGGCTTTCGGAAAAGGCGTGCGACGTGCCTTATTACGCAGGGTCCGATTGACAGCTCAACGAGAGAGCTCGCCTTGCTGCCAGTTCTGCCTGAAGTGTCCGTCGCCTGAAGGGAGCGATGCGTTTCTGCCGTTCCGTCGGCGCGCGCGCGCGAACCTCACGATCGCCTGTTGCGCGCAGACGCGTGGTTCAAAAGCTACAGCCGCTGTTGAATTATCGCCCCCCGCCTCCCCTTTGATGTAAAGATGTCAGCAGTCTAGAACGCGTGTCACTATCGCTTCGTTAGTAGCCTACGCTAATGATAATTTGTTTGACAGATTGTCGGAATCACAGGCCATTGTCAAAAATGGACTGATGGATAAAGACCACGCATTTCGGTCACAGTGCGGGTTGGTGAAGGTGGGCAGGGTAGATGGGGGGGGGGGAGACGTTGTGGGTGCGGATGGGGGGGGGGGGAGTCTTAATATCGGTTCAGATGTGACCCCCTCGCCGATGTGAGCCATAGCCGTGAAGCGAACTCGGGTGACCGCGTGCATAGCGCAAGAGTGTGCTAACCATCGCGCCACCGCTCCACCGCCAAGACTTAACGATGAAGTGAGAACTGCTCGAATGCGCGTTACTCAGCAATGAAGGCGGCCTTTAATGAATGTTGAATGCAGACCGCTGCGGGGATTGGAGATCGCGTGGATACTGTAGGGTAGTAAGGGTGGCGCAGTGGTTAGCGCATTGCGTTATGAACTCGGCTTGCTGACACGCGAGTGATGTTTGAATCTGTCCCCGGCATCCCCTCTACCAACCCTCACGAATCATCGTGGAGAGTGAAGTATGGCGAAACAATCCCGGCGTGTGGCGTGGGGGGGGGGGGGGGGCTTCACCCAGCAGTGGATTGGCAAAGGGCTGCAAACTTTTATAAGCAGAGCTGCCAGCTGAGCCGGCTACCGCAGACAGGCACGGTTCGATTCCCGCTGCCAGAACCACAAAATGCCTCTTTAGACTTTCCAAAGGGCGCTGCCTGCTTTAAAGTAGGCGTTAGAGACTCGGTGACGACATTTTCAAGAGCATATTCGTGTTTGTCGGTGTCGGCCTCAACTTTTAAGACTTGCATTTAATTTTTTTGACCACATCACATTGAATGCGCCCGATTTCGGAAGTTACGCTGAATCGAGTCTGGTTAGTAGTCGGATGGAAGATTGCCTGGGAATAATAGCTGTTGCAGACATAGACCGCGAAGTCACCAGGAGATAGCAGGAACCGCAATGGATTCTTGAATCGATCCGTGAAAAGCTCCGCCTGGTACCCCCCTCGTTAGCGTGGGCTTTCTCAGGTCAGTCCGGTTTCCTGCCACGCGAAGGCCACTCGTCAACAAGACTGGCGAAACATCGCAATGCAGGACCCTCTTCGAAAATAGTCTCGAAACTCGGTAGCAAGGCATTTCCGTGATAAATAAAAGCATTACAGTGAGGGGAAAAAAAGTATTTGATCCCCTGCTGATTTTGTACGTTTGCCCACTGACAAAGCAATGATCAGTCTATAATTTTAATGGTAGGTTTATTTGAACAGTGAGAGGCAAAATAACAACAAAAAAATCCGGAAAACGCATGTCAAAAATGTTATAAATTGATTTGCATTTTAATGAGGGAAATAAGTATTTGACCCCTCTGCAAAACATGACTTAGTACTTGGTGGCAAAACCCTTGTTGGCAATCACAGAGGTCAGACGTTTCTTGTAGTTGGCCACCAGGTTTGCACACATCTCAGGAGGGATTTTGTCCCACTCCTCTTTGCAGATCTTCTCCAAGTCATTAAGGTTTCGAGGCTGACGTTTGGCAACTCGAACCTTCGGCTCCCTCCACAGATTTTCTATGGGATTGAGGTCTGGAGACTGGCTAGGCCGCTCCAGGACCTTAATGTGCTTCTTCTTGAGCCACTCCTTTGTTGCCTTGGCCGTGTTTTTTTGGGGTCATTGTCATGCTGGAATACCCTTCCACGACCCATTTTCAATGCCCTGGCTGAGGGAAGGAGGTTCTCACCCAAGATTTGACGGTACATGGCCCCGTCCATCGTCCCTTTGATGCGGTGAAGTTGTCCTTTCCCCTTAGCAGAAAAACACCCCCAAAGCATAATGTTTCCACCTCCATGTTTGACGGTGGGGATGGTGTTCTTGGGGTCATAGGCAGCATTCCTCCTCCTCCAAACACGGCGAGTTGAGTTGATGCCAAAGAGCTCCATTTTGGTCTCATCTGACCACAACACTTTCAGCCAGTTGTCCTCTGAATCATTCAGATGTTCATTGGAAAACTTCAGACGGGCATGTATATGTGCTTTCTTGAGCAGGGGGACCTTGCGGGCGCTGCAGGATTTCAGTCCTTCACGGTGTAGTGTGTTACCAATTGTTTTCTTGGTCACTATGGTCCCAGCTGCCTTGAGATCATTGACAAGGAACTCCCGTGTAGTTCTGGGCTGATTCCTCACCGTTCTCATGATCATTGCAACTCCACTAGGTGAGATCTTGCATGGAGCCCCAGGCTGCGGGAGATTAACAGTTCTTTTGTGTTTCTTCCATTTGCGAATAATCGCACCAACTGTTGTCACCATCCTACCAAGCTGCTTGGCAATGGTCTTGTAGCCCATTCCAGCCTTGTGTAGGTCTACAATCTTGTCCCTGACATCCTTGGAGAGCTCTTTGGTCTTGGCCATGGTGGAGAGTTTGGAATCTGATTGATTGATTGCTTCTGTGGACAGGTGCCTTTTGTACAGGTAACAAGCTGAGATTAAGAGCACTCCCTTTAAGAGTGTGCTTCTAATCTCAGCTCGTTACCTGTATAAAAGACACCTGGGAGCCAGACATCTTTCTGATTGAGAGGGGGTCAAATACTTATTTCCCTCATTAAAATGCAAATCAATTTATTACATTTTTGACATGCGTTTTTCTGGATTTTTTCTTGTTGTTTTTCTGTCTCTCACTGTTCAAATAAACCTACCATTGAAATTATAGACTGATCATTTCTTTGTCAGTGGGCAAACGTACAAAATCAGCAGGGGATCAAATACTTTTTTCCCTCACTGTATTACGTCCCGTACGTGACGTGCTATGCATTACAGAGGGATCATCGTGGATGGGGGGGGGGGGGGGCAATTGGGGGCAGTCTCCACTCGGATACAATAACTCTCAAGGGGCTTTCGCCTGGTTCAATAAAGGACACGCAGAGACAAAGGGGAAGCTCTGAAAGACTCACCGACGCCACTGGTGGCGGAAGGGGCCTCTTAGATAGCTCCCCTCTAAACGGTACTTGGCCTACTCTTCCATGCTGGCCAGAAGGTCTTGGAAGAGGCGGGAGTCTCCACACTTTAGCCCACCACACGCGACCTTCAAATTAACTAACTGTGTTGCACATATACAATTTATACTACTGGGTGTGCAGATGAAGCACGTGATGGGAGGTGGGATTTAATCAACATGGCCATCGTTTTAACTGCCGCGCAGGAAGATCGAACTGAATCGGTGGTCTCTGGATTGCAAGTCACGTGTGCTCACAATCAATACATCCATGTCGTATGCATCGACACTATGCCACCCCTTGGGTAAAGGCTGTTTGTAGATAATTAGGAACAGCACCAACCGGACTGGAGTTATTGGCATGAATAAAGTCATTATATTTTTTGTAAGCGAGCTACTTATTTGCGTATTTAAAATTGTGCAATGTGCTAAGTGGAACTCTTTCATCTGTGATGTGTCACTCCATCAATCATTAACCCGTTCATCGACCGCGAAACGTAACGGCAATGAGCTCGGTCTCTCGATCTTTCAGGATTGGAGAATGTGGCACGCAGACTCCTTACTTCACCCTTTTCTGTTGTTCAAAAAAAGAAAATGAAAAATTGTTTTTAATCTCTGCGAAATCTGTTCGGCTTTATGAAGCGTACATTGGACGTGACCCAAGTAGAGGATGCTAGAGGAAGTGCGATATGTGTTCGTGGAAGGCAAGGCTGTATGTTTTTTTTTTGTTTAACGTTGATGCATGACTAAGTCTAATCCTGTGCAAACCAAACTTGCTCAACATGACCACAATATTCTACAGGTGCTGTCTTGCGGATTGGCTCGCCCCCATCCCAGGAATGTGGAATTTCCACCAATGACTCGAGGCTATAAGCGAGAGTTAAGCGCGGTCCCACGCTCTTTCGAGCGGCACACCAACCACGTGTTTGCCTTTTTTCATTGGAAATGATAAAGGTGTTTTTCGTTTTTTTTTTACTGGATGAAATGTTGTTCTCGCAGCTTCATGAGTTCGTATCCCGTATAAGCGACAATCTCCAGCACAACTATCGAGTGTTTCATACTCATGGGGGTGGAGCGGTGGCACAGTGATTATCACATTTCGCTAGAATTCATCCAGCAGTGGATTGATCATGGCTGAACGGGAAGTTTTTATGATGAAATTGATGATAAGATACCGAACTTTCCTCCGCGGTTGCGTTTTTTTTTTATTTATCGTCACGCACACACAGAGGTGTAGCGTTAGCGTTTTTTTTTAGTTCCCCAAGGCCGCTCCCTTCTTAAGTCTGAACGAGGAGTTTCCACCGGATCCCGAGAAGGCGGTGAAGAATCGGCGGGGCAAGAGAGTCACCCAAGGCGGTTGGCATTCCACCAGCGCGGCGGTATTGGCTTGAGCGCGGTAAATTCCCCTGTGAGCGCCGAATAATAACAAGCGGTTTTTATCTCTGGACAAATCTACAGCGGTGCGTGAAGGTGACGCATAAAAAGAAATGTGCATTCCTGTACGGGAGATATACAGACAGGCAGAGAGAGAGAGAGAGGAGAGAGAGAGGAGAGCGAGATGACGGACCGACGTGCTCTAAGATGTCTCTGGGAGGAATGCAACGCGAGGTGAAATTTACGCGCGCGAGTCCGCGAAAGGTGCAGAGCAGTGACAGTGAGAGGAATGGACGCCTCGATCTCCCGCGAATGTCCGTGATTGCGCGTAATGAAAATGATGCGAGGGACATTGATATACTGTATATCCACGCCACTATCGATCTACTGATGGATGAAGGCCTTCCCACACTGTACCGGTCGTGGAAATAGTATGTCATGCTTTGCAACCCTGGTCATTGTGAGTCGATGATGGGCTTGGGGGTTTCAGATATCGCCGATGATATTAGCCGTGGCCTGGAATATAACTCAGGCCGCTGGTACTGCTCAATAGCTCTTCATCGCGGGAAATCATCATCATCATCATCACCGCCACCAAGAAATGCGTCTTCTTGAATGCCGCGCGTAAACACGGGGAGTGATGCCTCGAGGGCAGACGAAGTCTTTCAAGAAATGCATTCGTCGATAAGACGTGGGACAATTTCGCACCTGCTCGGACTGCTCGGTGTTGCAATGCTCGGCCGGGTGTTGCTCACCGAGGAGAGAGCCCGGCGCGGTGTGCGTCCCGAACTCCGTAGCGTGACCTCGTTGAAAGTGGGAAGTGGTGAGAGGGCAATAGAAACACTCAGAGGGGACCACTGCACAATCAACGTAAAAAAATGCATCTTTAAACGAATGTTAAACACTGACCAGATACAAGGAGGGAGTGAATGAACTGGGTGAGGGAGCGGGGTGAGTGAGCGGGGTGAGAGGAGGGGTGAGGGGGCGAGGTTGGGAAACCCGCGCAGAGAAACACGACTCGCGCCAGCCTGGTTCTCATTAGAGCGGCCATTAGTTCGCTACCTCCCTTTTTTCTCATAGGCAACAGATTTACTTACAGACCTCGTGTGTGTGTGTGGGTGTGCGTCGTGTTTGTCTTTGTGCGCGCGTGTGTCAATGGGGAGCGGTAGTGTAAAGTTTAGTGCGCTGTTCTGCGAACCTGGCGACCCCCAATTCGATTTCCCGCTCACGGCCGATATCGGTGACGAATATATGAACCACTCATTGGCGTGTCCGAGGCCGACTCAGCCTCAAATGAGAACCTGGTGCGGGGTGTGAACATCAGCTCTGGGGAGACAAAGGTGACCGGACACACCACCCCCGAATAGGTGATCGCTAAGAGCACCTGCCCCAACAGCCTCGTGTAGTTTACACGGGGGAATTTGAAGTTATTTGTCAGTGTGCGTGTGTTTCTGCTGGGGAGTTGGAGGCAGTCGCCATCCAGCAACAACAAAAAAGGGCAGAGGAGCGACGCTCACAACAACGAGCAGAGCGCCGGACGACTAAACCGCAGAAAGTTGACACAGTTGGGGGACACAGCTGGTGAATCTGCCAGTCATCTCAGTCAGTCAACCCACGGCACCTGGAGTCTGTTCCGTGACCTCCTGCCAGCGGTCCTTCAACACAAAGTGCACCTAGCATGGCACAAGCACCGTGGGGATGTCACCGCCACTTAGTCGGTGAACGACGGTTGTTGTTGCTGTTGTTGCTGCGTGTTTACTTCCGCCTCTCTGTTCACGTGTGTGCGTATGTGTGCGTGCTTGCGCCCCGTGTCTGTGTGCGTGCGCGTGCACATGACTCAACTCGCCGCGCTTCCACCTCTCCGGCTGGACCGAACCAACAACTTCCAACCACCACCACCCACCCACTCACCAACAACAAACAAACGACGACAAATTCCAGGGCGCTCACAAACGACATCCTCGGACTCAAGCTGCCCCCGGAGCCCGTGCTGAACGCCAACACCGTGTGCCTGACCCTCGCGGGACTGAGCCGGCGGCAGCTGGAGCTGTGCATGCGCAGTCCCGACGTGGCCGCGTCCGCCGTGCAGGGAGTGCAGATCGCCATCCACGAGTGCCAGCACCAGATGCGCAACCACCGCTGGAACTGCTCCTCGCTCGAGACCAAGAACAAGTTGCCTTACGGCAACACCATGCTCACGCGAGGCAAGTCCACCACCCCACCACCACCACCCCACCACCACCACCCCAGGGCGCGCGGTTGCCGGTAGCTTGTGTGCGTGCGCGTGCAGTGGGGTGTGTGTGTGCGTGCGCGTGCAGTAGTGTGTGCGCGCGCGCGTGCAGTGGTGTGTGCGCGCGCGCGTGCGTGGTGTGTGTGCGCGCGCGCGTGCGTGGTGTGTGCGTGCGCGTGTGCGTGCGTGTTGTTGATTTGTCACGGCTCGCAATGCCTGCACCTTCTTGCGCGGGGATACGCGGCCCCCGGGTCTGGAGGATGGCGTTGGGGGAGGCGTTACTTTGGCACGCAGGGGACGCGGCTCAACGCCGGTTGGTATGCGGGGTGACGTCATCGCGCAGATACGCTCGCCCCGCGCGGCAGCCAGTGAGGATTCCAGCCAGCCAGGAAAACTTTAAAAACAAAAATCTATATTACGTTTATTCTTTGTGTCTTTCGGTAAAGTCACGTAGATAGGTTCAAGGAAAATGACAAAAATCTACTACGATTCGATTTCTTTATTTTTTCCCTCCTGATGACGATCACTTGTGTTGTTATCGAAACGTCGTAGTTTTTGGTTATTTTCTTTGAACCTATCTACGTGACTTTACCGAAAGACCCAAATAAAATGAATTCCTGCAGTCACGAAAGCTTTAAGTTAAGATTTATTACGCTTGTTTACCCAGGAAAGCCTCATGTCTCTATTTTCAGGAGGGTCCTGCCAAGTTTTCATAATAGGAAGGCGATGATTGCTGAGCAATTTCAGCAGTAATTTTTATACTTTATATATACTTTTTATTCGAAAATCTTTCAAATTGCGCAAATTTGGACCGTGAGACGCAATGACCTACTCTTGCACTTCCACTTTGAAGCAATCGAGCGTATTTTTTCGTGTGGTTAATACACCCTCAGTATTAACCTGGGCAGCCGCTGCATTCGAACCGCAAACGCGCTACCACGAGTCCTTTGTAAACGCCCGGCAACTGGGCGTGAGGGTTGTGCGAGTGTCTGTGTGTAGTTGTGTAGTGTCCAACCCGTCGTGTGCCGTGCCGGCCTTCATCAGTGCTACCCACTAACAGCACTTGCCCCCTACAGTCTGTTAAGGCTATACGGGGGGATCTTTGTCTTTGTGTTGTGTCGTAGTGTAGCGGTGAGCGCGCTGCGCTAGGAGCCCCGAGTTCGACTCCCGCACACGCCCAACACCAATGACGAATTCATGAACTGGTCCTGGGCCGATTCAACCTCAAATTAGGACCTGTTGTGATGTGCAAACATCGCCACTGGGGGAGACAAAGGCGGTCGGGCGTGCGACTGGCCACCCACCCCCTCGTGTTCCGTGCCGGCCTTCATAGGGTGCTCGCTGACAGCACTTGCCCCAACAGCCTGTAAAGACTATTCGGGGTTTCTTTGTCTTTTGATGCGTATGTGCATGGGCGTGTTTGTGTGGATATTGAGGTTTAAATGTGGATGTGCGTGTGTGTTTGGTTTGCGAACTACGTTACTAACGCGGCGACGTTAGATAGTGTAGTGGCTCGGACACAGCTCACATCAGCTGTTGATGAACCGGTGCGTGATGTGGTTTGTAAACTTGTCGTACTGTCTCGCCAACAGCACTCACTCCCAACAGTCTATGTCGGCTATACGTGGGGTATTTGTGTTGGTATCGGTGTAAGCTGGTGTGTGTTGGTGTAAGCTGGTGTGTGTTGGTGTATACGAATGTGTGTTGGTGTCTGGTGGTGTGTGTTGGTGTATGCTGGTGTGTGTTGGTGTCTGGTGGTGTGTATTGGTGTAAGCTGGTGTGTGTTGGTGTATGCTGGTATGTGTTGGTGTCTGGTGGTGTGTATTGGTGTAAGCTGGTGTGTGTTGGTGTAAGCTGGTGTATGTTGGTGTCTGGTGGTGTGTGTTGGCGTAAGCTGGTGTGTGTTGGTGTATGCTGGTATGTGTTGGTGTCTGGTGGTGTGTATTGGTGTAAGCTGGTGTGTGTTGGTGTATGCTGGTATGTGTTGGTGTGTATTGGTGTAAGCTGGTGTATGTTGGTATCTGGTGGTGTGTGTTAGCGTAAGCTGGTGTGTGTTGGTGTATGCTGGTATGTGTTGGTGTCTGGTGGGGTGTGGTGGTGTAAGCTGGTGTGTGTTGGTGTACACGAGTGTGTGTTGGTGTATGCTGGTGTATGTTGGTGTAAGCTGGTGTGTTAATGTATGCTGGTGTGTGTTAGTGTATGCTGGTGTGTGTTGGTGTAAGCTGGTGTGTGTTGGCGTAAGCTGGTGTGTGTTGGTGTATGCTGGTATGTGTTGGTGTCTGGTGGTGTGTTTTGGTGTAAGCTGGTGTGTGTTGGTGTATGCTGGTGTGTGTTGGTGTAAGCTGGTGTGTGTTAGTGTATGCTGGTGTGTGTTGGTGTAAGCTGGTGTGTGTTGGTGTAAGCTAGTGTGTGTTGGTGTAAGCTGGTATGTGTTGGTGTAAGCTGGTATGTGTTGGTGTCTGGTGGTGTGTGGGGAGCGGTAGCGCGTTGCGCTACGAACTCGGCCACCCGAGTTCGATTCCCGTTCACGGCCATCACCAGTAACGATTTTATCTGAACCGGGCCTGGGGTACCCCTCGGTAGACTCAGCCTCAAATGAGAACCTAGTGACGATGTTTAAAAAACATCGCCACTAGCGAGACACCCAACTCCTCGTGTGTCGTTCCGGCCTTCATAGGTGCTCGCTAACAGCACTTGTCCCAGCAGTCTGGTGAAGGCTACACGGGGTACTATGTTTGTATTTGTGTATCTCGGTGTGTGCGTGTTCAGTGCGTACACGCTGACTGTTGCATGCAAATTGACTCGTACGGTCACTCACTCGTGAATGCATTCTCTCGATCTCTCTCCTTCCCCCTTGGTCATCGTTGTTTCTCTTGCTCGCTCTCTTCAACTCTTTTATACGGCTGTTTGAATTTAATCAAACACACGCAGACGCACGCAAAGCCAAACATCCTCAGTGTAACCTTAAAAGACTTCGGGAAAGTGATGATAGCGAGTGCTTATGAAGGCCGGCATGTCAGCACCACGCCCGACCGCCTTTGTCTCCATCGTGGTGATGTTTTACACACAGCACCGGGTACTCATTTGAGGCTGATTCGACCGAGGTGCTCCTGAGCGAGAATCGAACTCGGGTGGCCGGGTTCGTAGCGCAGCGCGCTAACCACTGCGCCACCGCTCCCCACACACACACAAACTTGGGTCACTGGGTTCGTAGCGCAGCGCGCTAACCACTGCGCCACCGCTCCCCACATACACACACTTACACACTTGTCGCCGAGTTCGTAGCAGCGTGCTAGCCACTGCGCCACCGCTCCCCACACACACACACACTTACACACTTGGGTCACCTGGTTCGTAGCGCAGCGTGCTAACCACTGCGCCATCGCTCCCCACACACACACACTTACACAATTGGGTCACTGGGTTCATAGCGCAGCGCGCTAACCACTGCGCCACCGCTCCCCACATACGCACTTACACACATTTAGACACACACGCGATTCACGCGGGTGAGCGGTGAGACACCGCCTCGCGAGGTGAGTTCGGGAGTTATCGCTCACACACATAACGAGTCGCATTGCTCATCCGTCAAAGTCTCGCTGGGAGCCGGGGGCCGTCGCCCCCGTCGAATTGTTTAACGCGCATTTCACACGCACGGCTCACGGCTCCACTTCCAGCGAGGCTCACTCGAGTCCTGAAAGCGATCTACCCCCCCCCCCCCCCGAGCGCCCCGCGGACAGGCGCGCGCTTCGCCGATCAAGCCTCCGCCAGTGTCGCGAGTCGTGTGGTCTGTTGTGGTCATCCAGAACAGAGCGCACAACGTATAACGAACGACGCGATGCCCGATCCTAATGCGGTTGTCTGGCTTTGGCCACCTGAATGTGAAATGGTAGTCGTTGCTCAGCATCTGCAAAGAGCCGTACGACAGAAGAAGAATAAGAAGGAGTGTCGCGAGCGATGTTTTGCGAGCACGAATTAAGTGACGTTCGCGTGGCACGCGAGGTCGTGGCGTTGCCGTCTGCCAACACCACGTCGACGTCGGCCCGCCTTTGTCTTCCCTCTGCCGATGTCCACACCAGTCGTCGTGGGGGTATTCGTGTTCATGCTGAGTCGACCTAGGCTAGGCACGGATGGTGTTGCAAGATTAGACGGTGACGAGATGAAGTCAGGCCATCCAGAGGCCTTAGCGCAGTGTCACGCTGATCTATGTATTGGCCCAAACACACACAAGACAAACACAGAGAACCTCCGTACAGCCTTAACATACTTTTGGGGTAAGTGCTGTGAGCGAATACTTATGAAGACCGGCACGGCACCCAAGGGGGTGGGTGGCTAGCACCACGCCCGGCCGCAATTGTCTCGCAGGTAGCGATGTTTACACATCGCACCAGGTACTCATTTGAGGCCACGTCGACCCAGGAGAGGCCCAGAGCCGGTTCAGATAATCGTCACTCGCGTTGGCCACAGTATATACTACAGGCGGCAAGTGCATCTCTTAAGGGCTGCAGGGTACACGAAGAGAGGGGGGTGGCGGGGTGGTCAGGACAACGCACCGGCTGCCTTTGTCACCGCGCTAAGCGCTCTCATTTAAGGCTGAAACAACCTAGGAGAGACCCAGGACCCGTTCGGATATCACTCGCCGCCGATGATCGCGATGGTCTGGAATCGGCCTCGTGTCAGCGGGTTTCCGAGAGCAGGCGCGTTAACCACTGCGCCACCGCTCTCCAAGGCTTGTGGACAACCGTCTGTGTTGGGGGAGCCACAACGATAGCGCCGTAGGGAGCAGCGGAGCAAGTAGGTCGCTGGCCCGTCTGTGTGTCGGAACGTTCGTCGTTGTTACCTCCTCGCGCGAGCGGAGTTTTCGGGTTGCTTCCCTTTGCGTCCAAATCACAAATAAATAAATAAATAAAACTCCGACCCTGAAAGCGGGACCATATCGAAGAGGGGAATCTGTCCCGAAGAGACTCTTTTGGG